GAAGAAGAAGAAGAAGAGTAGTAGGTAGTAGTAGTAGTGTAATAGTGTAATAGTAGTAGTAGTCTAGTGTCCTGCCAATAATTTTTGGTATTGGTTGGTGTATCCTGGATACTGCAGTAGTAGGAGGACATCATTCCTGGCATATTAATTACAGGAAATCCCACAAAAGTTTCCACCCACAACGGTGCAACCGTTGGTTAACTTCCATTACTTGTTGTGTCTTCCTTTACCCCAAATATCGACATCCAGGCAATGTTTCATCAATTCCCTTGTTTTCCCTTCTTTCCCCATCCCCACTTCCCTCCCCCCCATGTTTCATTCTTCTTATCTTTTATCTTGTTTCAATACACTAACTTATATATTTTACTGCAACCTAAATTATTATTTCCTTTTAGGATTGCTCGAAGAAGTGTTAATTGAGAGACATGGTGGTTAATTTGATTATTTTATCATGATGACCTATTAAACAACAGTCGTCACACTTGGTTGTTAAGTGATGGGGGGGGTGGTAATACTTTTTAAGTTGTTATTCTCTAAGTGTAGTTATTATTTCGTTGATAAGCCTGTTGCCCCGTATAGTTTTGTTGTCCCCTTGGGACAGGGGCGTCTTGTTGTGGGCGTCTACACAACATACATGAGATGTTTTATATCATCAAATTGGTAGAGAATCTCCCTTGGGTATCTGTTTTCATTGAATCATTTTGAATTTTTCTTTCCTACTCTTCCTTGTTTGTTTTTTTTCTTTTTCTCGCATTGACACCCTCCAATTTATTTGTGTTTCTTTTTCCTCCACAAGTGATGTGTATCAATTCTTATCAACATAAGTGATGATAATAACATTTTCTGGCAAAGGTTTTTTCTTTTTCTTTTTTTCTTATAACGTGTCGTTGTTTAAATTAGTTTTAATAATGAAAATCAGGTATTATTTTTATTCGATGATAGATTATTATTCATTAAATTTATATTAATTTGGTTGATTTGATTTTCTGATTAATTTCTTCTTCTTCTTCTTCTTCTTCCTCATTTTATTAGGACTTTGTCCTGTTATAATAGCTTTTTTTTTATTGCTATTTTTAGGAGTGAGATTTATTGGTGAATATATTTTAAATTAAAATTTATGGTGAATAATTTAAATAACTAAAAGTAGAACCTTGTATAATCGTATATTTGTGATAAGAATGGCAATGGTCTAGACTTTAACGGCGCCATATACGAATCTTCTGATCAGCATCTTTCATATCTCTTCTTTTACCATTTGAAAAACAAAGTGTTATTCTCTTTCTCTTTCTCGTTTGCTACGTTTTTTTTCTGTTATCGGATACTATCAGCCTATTGTGTCTTGAATTAAGAACGAACGAACGAATGAATTAAGAAGACGTTTCAAAACGCAGTATATAAGACAACGCATCATAATCTTATTACATACCAATGATTATTATTCCTTTGTCCATATGTGACAGTTATTCGTAGTTCGTTTGTCTCTTCTTCGTAAAGTTTGAAGTTACTTTGCATTTCTCTTCAAGATGATTTAATAATAGCTGTCATATGCACTTTTTCTTACAAGGGATGCTG